GTTTCCGAAATCAAAAAACTACTAAGGAAAGCAACCTTAACCGGCAAATTTTTCCCGGTTTTCTGTGGTTCGGCTTATAAGTATGTCGGAGTAAAACTAGTTTTAGATGGAGTAGTAGATTATTTACCATCACCAGTGGACGTGCCACCAATACCAGTGTTTTCTCCGCAAGATAAGAGTAAGCAAGGTGAAATTAATTGTCATAGTCAGTTATCATGTCTCGCCTTGGCTTTCAAAATTATGGTTGATAACTATAATAATAAGTTAACTTTTTTTCGAGTTTACGCAGGAAAAGTATCGGCTAATTCCTATATTTACAATGTTAATCAGGGGAAAAAAGAACGAGTGGGTCGGTTAGTCCGCATGCATGCCAATAATAAAGAGGAAGTTAAATCAGTAGGTGCTGGCGATATTGCCGCAGTGATTGGTTTAGAACATACCATCACTGGTGATACTTTTGGCGAGGAAAAAAATCCCTTGTTGTTGGAAACTATTGATTTTGCTGAGCCAGTAATTACCCAAGCTATTGAACCCAAAACTAATGAAGACAAAGAAAAACTAAGAGAGGCTTTAGAAAAATTAAAAATTCAAGATCCTAGTTTTAAATACTGGATAGATCGGGAAACCGGACAAATGATTATTGCTGGTATGGGCGAACTACATTTGGAAGTTTCCGTGGAAAGGCTAAGAAGAGAATTTAAATTAGAAATTGAAAGTAAACAACAAAAAGTATCCTATCGGGAGACTATTACCCAAAAAGTAGAAAATGTCGAAGGAGAATACAAAAAACAAACTGGGGGAAGCGGACACTTTGCCCGCGTTAAACTTACTTTCGAACCCAACAAAGGAAAAGGTTTTGAGTTTGTCGATGCTAAAAAAGGGCAAGAAATGTCTAATAAAGATGCTGAGGAAGTAAAAGAAGGATTGGAAGAAGCGATGTCCTCCGGTTTACTCTTGAACTATCCCTTGCTTGATATAAAAGTTACTTTGTTGGAAGGAAAAAGGCACACCGTTGATACTAAACCAGGCGATTTTAAAAATGCTGCTATTTTAGCCTTTCGTGGCGATAAAACCGAAGAAAGACAAAAAAAAATCCAAGAATTGGGAGTAGTTTTATTAGAACCAATTATGCAATTAGAAGTAGTAGTCCCGAAAGATTACATGGGTGATATCTTGGCCAATTTATCTTCACGCCGTGCGGTTATTGAAAGTACTGAAGAAAGAGAAGGTGATAGTTATATTGGTGGCAAAACTCCCCTCCGAGAAATACTTAATTATACCACTACCTTACGGCAAATAACCAAGGGCCGCGGTACTTATTCCATGCATTTATCCCATTATCAAGAAGTTGCTTCCGATATCCTAGCAGAAATATTGAAAGAAGAAAAATTACAATAATTAACCCAAAACTATACTATAGTTATGGTTAGGATCAAAGATAATTGTGATTCGAAAACAAATATTGCTAAACTTAATAATAAGAAAAGAAATTACCTTAAAATAATAAATATAATAAAAACTTAATTTATGGCAGAAAAGAAACAATTTGAAAGATCAAAACCTCATTTAAATATCGGAACCATTGGTCATGTTGACCACGGCAAAACAACCTTAGCCGCCGCAATTACTTCGGCGTTATCCAAACAAAATAAAGCTAAAAAAACCGACTATTCGGAAAT